GCTTTCAGCCTCACTCTGCTTCATTCTACTACGTTAATAAATCATTAGCTCATCCATGAACATGATTTCTGCCCGAGTCCCGTCGGATTGCATCGGCTGTGGGGATGAAGACCACAACTCCCATGATTCCACACTCAGTCACAGCGTCATCAAACTACGCCTTTGTATCTTTGTTTATTTTGAATACGCGCCCTCTAGCGGCGAAAATTACATATTGTGCCTTTAAGGGAACCATATAGTCAACAGACAGCCAGAACCGATATCAGCTGTCTGTCATTAGTGCTGCCAATATTAGCTCACTGTATTAGTCATTTAGGCAGTTGCTGTGATTAGTGATGTCGTCGGCTATCTACACCGTCATAGTTGTTAGCTTTGTGCTTGTCTGTTTGTGTAGCCTAGCAGGACAGCTGATGAAACACAAGCTGCTGTGATCCAGCCATTAGCCCACAGCATCTGTGAAGGACAGACAGATGTGCTGCGACTGCCCATCAGCCCTGGAGTTTAGCTGAAGCATGTAACGAGCACAAGGCAATTAGATGCTCGCCCAGAGGAAAGCATTAATGAGTTCTCCACGAAATAGGCAGAAGAGTCTGATTGTATTGATGATGCTATAGACTTCAGATCTCTTTAAATCCAGCTGTTAGCACCTATTTTTAAAAGTTTCTGAAATAAGTCTCTTCTGCTCACCAAGGCTGCATTTATATGATCAAAATACAGTAAAAAAAACAGTAATGTTGTGGAATATTATTACAATTTAAAACAGCTGTTTTCTATGTGAATATCTGTTAAACTGTAATTTATTTCTGTGATCAAAGCTGTATTTTCAGCATCATTACTCCAGTCTTCAGTGTCACATGATCTTCAGAAATCATTCTAATATGCTGATTTGCTGCTCAAGAAACATTTCTGATTATTATCAATGTTGAAAACAGTTGTGCTGCACAATATTTTTGTGGAAACTGTGATGCGTTTTATTTTTCAGGATTTCAGAAAGTTCAAAAGAACAGCAGTTACTTGAAATAGAAATCTTTTGTAAGATTATACATGTCTTTACTATCACTTTTGATCAATTTAATGTGTCCTTTCTGAATAAAAGTATCAATTTCTTTAAAAATGACCACAAACTTTTGAACAGTAGTGTAAATCAATATTAAACATGAAAGTTCATAGCCAGATACTGACACGAATGGAGGACTGTTATTTTTTTTTTTATAATGTAATGAAGATAATTTTCAAGTTGTAATTTGTGTTTTGGATTGTAACAACCTAGACTTGACAAATGAACAAAAAATTAAAGAAATGAAATCATAGATGACTACCAAGCACAAGTCTGGAGAAATTGTTATTAATGCACACCTTTGGGGAAAATTATTATTTAAAGTAACAAGTTGCATTACAGATAATGAAAGTATTTGTTACATCTTTGTATGGCACATAGATAGAGCATCCAAATTAAAGATAGTTCAAACAAAAAATAAGTTTTCTGAAGTCATATGATCCTTGAGAAACCAACTGACATCTAGTACATTATTTACTAAAAATCTCCCTTCTACACTCTTAAATTGTGATGCACAACTCTGTGCTCAGAATAAGGAGAAGAAAGATACTGTGTAAAAGCTAGTTAGTTCTCAACAGCGTTTTGAATTACGTGTGGCTTTGTTTTGTAGTGTATTCCAGTCCCGGACATCAACAAGCCTCAGTCCACGCATGCCTTCGCAATGACCTGCATCTGGATTCACCTGAACCGCAAAGCTCAGAACGACAACTCCAAACTCCAGATCCCTATCCCACACTCGCTCAAGCTGCACCACGAGTAAGACACTCACAGACACACTCACTCTCTCACACACACACACACACACACACACTCACTCACACTCACTCACTTACTCACTGCTCAGAATCTGTTGAGCAGCAAATACTTCAGCATGGTCTTGTCAGTCATCTCTCCTTATTCTCGACCTGTGATCAGTCAAAGCTGACTCCGGTAGCTCTTGTTGGATGCAGGGTTGCCAAGACCGCGTTTTTTCCACAGAATTGGGCTACTTTTAAACTGTTGCCATGGGTTGGTTTTCCCAAGTGGGTTAAAGGTTTGAAATATTGCATAAATTACATTTGACTGAAATGCTTGTATTGAAACATTTTGCATTCTACCTATGATAAAACTTGCATGGACTTCTACATTAACTGTTCCCTCCTGGTGGAACTACCTGCCCAGCTCAATCCAAGCAGCTGAGTCCTTAATATTTTCAAGAAACGGCTGAAAACACATCTCTTATATCTACATTTGACGCTCTAACTCTAGCACTCTCTATTCTAATGATAATTCTAATTTTATCATCTTGTTTTTTTTAATTAAAAAACTTGACCCTCTAACATTTGCACTCTCTATTCTATTTCTATTCTAACTAGTTGTTTTATTTATAAAGAAAGAAGAGCCTCTAACACTAGCATTCTCTATTCTTTATTCTTTCCACTTTTTTATTTATTATAAATAATGACCTTCTAACACTTGCATTATCTATTATTTTTCCGTTCTATTGACTTTTTGTTTTATTTTTTATTTCAAAATTACCCTCTAACACTAGCATTCCCTATTCTTGTTCTATTATTTCTACTTGTTTTGTTTTTATTTATTATAAAAACAAAATAAG